ACTTGTATCTTTCTTATATAACTAATTTTTTATAAATTCTACTAACCTTAATTAACATGTAATCAGTTAATTTTCAAAAGAATTTAATAAAACAAAATAAAAAATGAAAAAAATTCAAAAAAAATTGAAAAATGGTCAAAAACCCACTGAAATGACCTCCGGATGGCCGAAAAACGACAGACATCACATCATTAATGGTGAGTTTTGCTCAAAAGCCTATTTCCAATTTCTCTACCAAATTTCAAATTAATCGAAGAAAGTTGGCGCTTTTTAGCAAAATCCTCTTGATATCAGAAATTTTTTATTCTGAAACTTCTGAACCTCAAAACTCACTCTCTCTTGCTCAAAATTTAATCAAAAAATTTCAACACATTAAATCAAGAGCAACAAATTTAATAATAAAACAGAATTTGATAACGAATATAAACGAAGTCAATTTCAAAGAACAGTAAAGGCAATTCAAGTAACCATGAAGACTATGCCTTAAGCATGTTCTCAATTTGAAAAAAAAAAGTACACAGTACCAACAATAAATCACTATGCTTTCAAGTTGAATAAGTCATATACATATGATGTTTTGAAAGAGTTCACATAAGCCATAAGCCATCAAAACTATAATGTAATGACTTATTCAAGCATAGAAAAAAAAAAGATTTTTACAATTAAATAACAAATAGTACTGTGACTTCTTTTACAAAACCAAATTAGGAAGTGATAGAGATAATGACAATCTGTCAATTTATGACAATCTGTCAATTTGTTATTGTTATTTCGATTATGTATAATTAGTAAGTATAGTTATATAGGACCACTCCTGTTTAATGTACAGATGGGTATCTTCAGAAATCAAATTGAAACTTCAAATACTTCATAAATCTACTAAAGATCTTCAGAAATCAAATTGAAACTCAAATACTTTCATAAATCTACTAAAAGATTGTCATTATCTCTATCATGACAATCTGTCAATTTATTATTTGTTATTTCTGATACATTTGAGTTTCAATTTGATTTCTGAAGATACCCATCTGTACATTATATACAGGAGTGTCTTATTATAACTATACTTCTAATTATACATATCAGAAATAACAAATAACAAATTGACAGATTGTCATTGTCTCTATCAAGAAGAACCACATATGATTCTGCCAATAAATTCTTTTGCAAAAATAAAATTGTAAAGTGTTTATTTTACCAAACACCAATTGATATCTTAAAATAAAAACAATTCAGGGCAGTAAACATTTTTTCCTTTTTCTTTAATTTGAAAAAAAAAAAAAGATTCCATCATTAAAACGATTCTGATATAAAATCAATCTTTGTACCAGAAACCGTATATTCTCAAAAAATCACAGAGAACAAGTGTACAATATCAACAAATGATTTCATCATTAAGAACTCATATATAACATAAAGGATTTTAATCTCTTAATCATATACATGAAAATGAATTAATGAAAATCAATGGAAAAAATGTCGGTCACCTATTTTCATGCTTCTAGGGGCCTTTGATACCAGTTGATGGAAAATGATATATGCAGCAGAAACCACCCAAGAGTAGAAGCACAAAATACAGGCAAACCAACAAATAACAAAATACATGATTGAATCCTACTAACAAGAGTAGTAGCGCAGAATCGTTCACCCGTCTTCTCCTTTTGTTTCTTGTGTGTATAAGAAATGGAATGGAAAGAAGGTAGTGTTTTGCTATTATATGTGGATGACATTCTACTTATAGAAAACTGTGTGGGTATGCTAACTTCTATTAAAAACTGGTTGTCTAAGAATTTTGATATGAAGGATTTGGGAGAACCTGCTCATATTCTTGGGATCAAGCTTATGCGAGACCTATGGAAATATTATGAATATTATGATGTATTTACTATTCCTATGAGAATATTATGATGTACTCAACTTATATTCGTTATTAATGAATTGCCAAGTTTTCAAAAAGAAAAAGAAAAAGGAGACCCTTAGTCTAAATGGCTAAGGTGATCAGGTACCCATGAGTAAAGCTCATAGGTTCCATCCCCCTTCCCAACCTGGCCTGAGTGCAAAGATTGAAACATATCTCTTGTACATAGTATCGAATGGTAAAAATAAAAAACTATTGTTATTGTGCATGTTTAAATATATTAGAAAATTTAAACATACAAAAAAAAGAGAGAAATAGTTTGTGGTGGACCTAAGGGGCGAGCACCCTTCAACAAGGATCGGTTGCCTCTTGATGAACTTTGCATGCCATTGGGAAGAGAGGACAATCTCCTAGCTTAGTTGTAAGGATTTTTCATGTACTAGTTGGTTGTTTCATAGTTGAAAAATGTCTCTTTTTGGCTATATCATCATTGGATTTTTCAGAATGGGTACAAAATCGAGAACCAATTACTATGCTATAATATTTGGATTAGTTACATAGATTCTAAAAAGTTAAGAGTAGTTATAGGTGCTTATACTTTTGTCGAGGTATGTAAATATGTTGAAAAGTCAGCTTATATGTTTGTCAAATACGTATCCATATAAATGTATTTCAACGGAAGGGTAAAAGAGACAGTGCACTTTAGCTCTAAACCAAAGCTTTTGGTCCAAGATTGCCATAGTAGCATTTCAACAAAAGGGCAAAAGAGATAATGGCATCGTCTCTTTCCTATTACTTCACTTTGTTCGGAAGATATGATCTTATCTTACCTCATCGAGCCGAAAAGGAATGGGTGGTTCACATAACCATCTAGCCTGAAATGAAGTTTTTGATCAAAATTGCAATAGTATATAGTATAGTTAGTGTGATCATCAGATTGTCCATCTGCAAAAAGCAAAAGGGCAGCGATCATGGCAAAGGGAGTGCAACTTTTGTTGTTGAGGTACGATCTCCGTCTATTTAAGGCAATATTGTAACTGTATGTCATGCTTTTGTTTGCTAAATAAGTTAAAAATAATGTGTGTTTTAATGCAAATGTATCGTTATTTTGGTAGCAATATGTCCAACAGATTACTTGGGAAGCCGATGTTAATTGATAGTTTTTCTTTAGCATCAATGTTCCTCAATTGAAGTTTTCAAAATATGTTGGTGCGGTATATTAGAGCGAGAAACATAGCTTTTTTTTATCAGAGGAATGAGCACATGAGTACTGGGCTTGAAATGGCCAGAGGGAAAACTGGAAGTGTATCATCATGGCCGGGTAAGTTGATGGGCTAATTGCTTAAATAGCCTAAGCTTTGGAACTAATGAAGTATTAATTCAATCAATACGGGATACTTGTCCCTCACATCTCAACACTCCCCTTAAGTGTAAGGGAGATGGCTTCTTTTATTGAGAGCTCAGTTGTCACTTGGACTTTCAAATCCTGGGTTCGTGTTCTTTTTTAGTCTCAGGGCCTGGTCTCTTTCTTGTTTTTGCCTGGGCTTGTACTCTTCAATCTCAGAGGTTACAGGTTCTTCAATTTTTACCTTACACTTTTTTATTGACCGGGATTTTAGTTTAGCTTAACCATGAGCTCCTTTCTTCTTTTTTTCTTTAAGAATTTTTTCTTTTTTTTTTTTTTTACTTTGTTCTTGCCCCCCATTTGTCCCATTGTCTTAATTTATTAACCTTGGCTTCCAGGATATATTTATGGGTCATTAGAATTATCGCAATTTGAATGAGTTTGGGATGTTTGCTAATAAATCCAGTTACTAATACATTTAAAAAGTAGGTGTTTATACATTAGGCTTGTAAATAAATGAGCTAGGCAGACAACAAGTATATTTGACGAACAGCAAATTTTCTCTCAGTGGGGTGGCCACGGTTCCCGCGGGCGGTTCTGTTTTCAAAAAAACTGGAACCGGAACCGAACCGAAAAGTTTCGGTTCCAGTTCCGGTACGGTGACCAAACCAACGGTTCCGATCGGTTTTCCGGTGAATCGCATAATTTTAAATTTTAAAATTTGAATACCGATTTTAAAATATATATATATTTGAACATAAAAAATTAAAAGATACACCTAAAAAATTAAAAAATACTTCAATTAAATTTATTTTTTTTAAACTGGAATCGAACCGAAAAATTTTGGTTTTGGTTCCGGTTCTGGTTCCGGTTTCGGTACGGTGACCAAACCGATGGTTCCGATCGGTTTTCTGGTGAATCCCATAATTTTAAATTTTGAAGACTGGTTTTAAAAAATATATATATTTGAACATAAAAAATTAAAAGATACACCTAAAAAATTAAAAAATACTTTAATTAAATTTATTTTTTTTAAAGACTAGAGATTTCACAACAAATTTTAAAAAAGAAATTAAAAAATACTTCAATTAAATTTATTTTTTTAAAGACTTGAACATAATTAAGAGATTTCACAACAAAATTTTAAAAAAAAAAAAAAACTTGACAGTTTGGCTAAAACCGCCAGTTCGAAGCGGTTCTAACCGGCCGGATAACCGGCGGTTCCAGTCCGGTTCCAACCGGTTCTCTTGAACCGCCGGTTCCGGTTCTAGAAAATTTGGAACCAGAACCGAACAGGAATTTTCCGGTTTCGGTTTCGGTTCGGCCCGATTTCGGTTCTCACCGATTCCGGTTACGGTTCTGGACCGGTTCGAACCGACTGTTCCGGTTCCCGGAACCGTAATATGGCCATCTCTAACTGCATGGGCTTGGTTCCAAAATAATATTCAATTAAGACTAATATGAGAGAGGAGGTGACTTTAAAATTACTCAAATCAAAGATAATTGCTAATTTCAATTTGTGTGAATGGATTTTAGCGTACAATATTCCTAGCTATAGGTATTTTGAATTTTTTTCTAAAGAGTAATATTATAATTAAAAAAGAAAATTTTAAAATAATTTTGTTCAACCAATGAACATCTATATAAAATTGTTTCTATTGATTCTTCTAAAAAAAATTTTTGATATGATTGATATTGCAGTGGTTCTTAGAACTACAATATTTTAAATTACAAAGTTAAAATTTTAGAATTTAAAATTTAAAATTAAATTGCTGCTGAAATCTAAAGGAAAATTTTAGAACGTATATAGGATAATTGGATTTGCACATATGAGATTGGCACAACCATGGACAATCCGTAGACCTGCATGGCCTGGCCCGCGCGGCTTTGATCAAAACAGGCTTGGTAAAAAGAGCTCATTTTCAAAAATATCCTTAATTCTCTTGTTCAAATTCGAAAAGTATCACCAGCCGTCCGTGATATTTGATCCGTTTTTACAGTATTGTGAGCAGTTTATTTTTTAATGGTCAAAGGGAGGCGTTGAATTGCTGCATCTCCTGCTTTATCTATATATGGTAAGACTAAAGAGAAAGAGATCACAAACAACTTTATTTTTATCATTAATTCATATTTTTTATTTTTGTTTAATTTTAAGATTTTTTTTTAAAAATTTGATTTTATTTTTATTTTTTGATTTCGTCACTAACTATAAATGCGCAAAAATTGAAATAAATGTAAAAATATACAATAGCATTTTAAATTTATACTTCAATTTATTATTATCATTTATTTAGTTTAATCTTAACAATTTGAGAATACCATTGAATAAACACATGATATTTAATTATTCGTGTGACTCACTACGATGCACACTCAGGTTGTGCCTCTATGAGTACTTCCCCACCAGCACAATCAAACTCTGCTAGTGCCAAGGAGATTCGTATGCTGTGGACTCGGCTTGACGAGCAGGAGAGGTTGTTGTCAGAGCTTAGAGCGCATATGATGTAGATGTCTGAAAGACCTGCAACGTCTACTTTTGTACATCCTCCTTCATCGAATCCATCGACTCCATCAGCTGCAGTTGCACTAGATCCTACTTCTTGTGCATTGCCTACGCTTTCTCCATCACCTGTCATACATCCAACCAGCATTGCAGCACCTGCTTTTGACCCTACAACGGCTCCTATTGACACTGCAGTGCCTCCTACCGACACTACAACTCCTCGTACAGAGACATTTGGGTTACAGACTCGTAGATTTGATTATAGATTTTTTAAAGATTTTTTTACTGATAAATACTACATTTACATTTTTTATTTTTTGGCAAATTTTGGAATTAATATGAGATTCTAAACGTTGTGATTTGTGTGTGTATATATATGTGTTTCTAACAGGTGCTTCAAATGTATGGTTTTCTTGCCATTTTCCTAAAATTTACTTGCTGTAATTTCAAATTTTGTGACCGATAAACCAATGATCTCCAAAAATCAATTATTTTCTAAAACAGAATTTGCGATCGGCTGCATACCATTTTGCAACCGAATACCGATGGTATTAGTAACCAACATTTTTGCGATTGTCCTATGATAAATAACATAGAAACTCTTGCAAAAGATTTAGCAACCGATTATTTCATTTTTGTGATCACTTGTCTTGGTCGCAAATTTGCGACCGACTCTTTTTTCAGTTGCTAATATATTATTAACTAGGTTTTGAGCAACCGATTCATCTTGGTCGCAAATTGCTCATGGATGTGGATTAGTAACCGTTTCTATGCAAATTAGTGATAAATTTAGTGGCAGCTAATTTGCGTGTTTTTTAGGGTGTCAACGATATTTATTTAATATTATAACTCAATTCTATTTTAATATTTCCAATAAATAATGTAAAATTAAATTCATTGAATTTGAAAATTACAATAACATATCTCAATTTTAAACACTATATTACTTTCACCATAATTTTTAATATGAAAATTTCTAAAAGTCAATTGTTCCTTTATTCAAGTTCTCATCTACACCAAATATCTTTATTATTTTGTTATCACTCATTCAATTTGCATTAAAAAATTTCTAACTATATGTAGTTGACATACATATTATACTAAAAATAAGGACATATGATGCTCCTACGGCAATTTAAAAACGTTTACTTTTAATCATTTTTATTTCATATTCATTGTTGAAATATAATCGAAATTGCGAAACCAAATCTTAAGTAAAATTGAATTATTGAAAAGCCAGATATTATGCTTTAATATATCTTTCCAATACATAATTGAGAGCATTTCTTACTATAATTAGGATGATTATAATAATATTGGAATTTAAACAGTATTTACGTACAAATAATTACAAAACAGTAGTTTGTGCAAATTTGATTAAATGCGACGAGAGTATTATTTTTTGTTGTATTATGTTATATCAATTAGAAAAAGGGACTAAAAATAAATTTCCATATTATTTTAATAACAAAGCACTTAATTTAAATTTGAAATTATCTACAATTCTGCCATTCTGACGAGAAGCATTTAAACAGAGAAAATTACATCTTTAACTACTATTTTCAGTTGTATTATGTTTTGTTGACATTTAATTGACACTGACTGATAAGAAACTCTGCCATTGAGACTTGGACCATATGAACAGAGAAAGTTACATATTTAACCTTCAGTTCTTTGACATTCACAAGTTTACCTTACTTGGTAAATTTCTATTTTGTCCTCATATACTTTGCATTTGAAGTCCGCAAGTCTAAGTTGACAAAACGTGTGTCAATGGGGGTTGAAATTATCATTTAACCCCTTATTTTATAAGAGGAACCATGATTCGACTCCTGCACCAGTACGTTCCAAAAAGTTAAATAGTTAACCTAAATTTGTCTCATCACATTGATTAACGTTTTTTTTGAGGATCACTTTATCAATTTCATTTCTCCATTCATGCATGCAGAAACCCAACCGCATACGGGTCTTGCCCACTATATGTTTTGAATATTGCCCAATGCCCACCACTTTGATGGTGCTGGATAATATTCTTGTCGTGCTCATAAATATATGTATAAAAAAGAAAGGAACACGTATTTGTATGTATAATATTTCTGTCATCAAAAAGCCAAAATACTGACAAAATTTTCTCATGACCTAACATTGATCGATGCATGCATGGTTAGATCATCAAGCACCCAATTAAGTGGTTTCAAAAAGTCTTAGCTATTGTTTAATCACTAGTGCTGTGTGCATATCTGATACTTTTGATCCATCAACGTGCATGAAAATTAAAGATTTGATTGCTTTTCAATCTGATAATTATGAACCCACCTTTAGTTTTCCTTCTCTCAATCGCCAACCCTAATGTGGGTAATTTTAATATGCTAATCTATTAGGTTTACACATGCAATTAGCAAACTCTCTCAGTGGTTGCAGCTTTTTGAACAAAGACAATAAGCAAGCACTACGTCTATATATAGCCACAGCCGCCATACATCAGCCCCACTTGCATATAAAATTCTAACTTTAATCTTTTATATTGGCTATAAATACAACTTCAAACACTTGGGTGTTATAACTGTCTTTGGCATTTTAACCTTAATCACCTCATTAGCAATATATAAGATTTCTTTGTTTAGGAAGACATGAAGAGTTTAAGCTTGTACAAATGGTATTTGTTTGTTGCAATTTTAATTTTATATGTTGTTGGTGTGAGATCCCAACTTTCTTCTGATTTCTACTCGAAAACTTGCCCTAAACTTCTTCAAATAGTTCGAAAAGAAGTTCAAAATGCTATCAAGTTCGAAATGCGAATGGCAGCCTCTTTACTGCGACTTCATTTTCATGATTGCTTTGTCAATGTGAGTTAGTATTACATTTATGATTTTGACCTTTTATTGACCTAAGTCAAATATTTTAGCATTTACTACACTTATTTCAATATATATAGTTTCAAATCTAAGGGTTGACAAACCCGTTTTTACATAATGGTCGAGCTTATAGTACCTTCACTCATATTTTAACATCATTGCATTGAACATTCAAAAGAAACTATAGTCAGCAGTCAATGGTCCGCCTGAAAAGTTAAATTTTTATTAATTCTTCTTTTCCATCTAATAAATTTTTTTTATTTATCAAAAAAAAAAAAAAAAAATTTTTGCCATTCAATGTTTATTATACATTTGTTTTATCGAACTACATTTAATGTTGTGTAACTCCAGTTTTTCATGTTGCTTGCCAGTTGGACTAATCTACAATTTAAATTATTGATATATATTACACATGTTTAAAAAATATTTTTCTGAATAATCACTGTTTACAAAAGAAATAGTATAGTAATCTTCTTTCTTTTGATTGTTTGTTGGTTTTAGGGTTGTGATGGATCTGTGCTGTTGGACGGAACTGATGGTGAGAAGTTTGCTGTGGCCAACAGAAACTCAGCTAGAGGGTTTGAAGTTGTGGACTCAATAAAAACTGCTGTCGAAAGTCAGTGCAGCGGCATCGTTTCTTGTGCGGACATACTCGCCATAGCTGCCCGAGATTCTGTCCTCCTGGTAATTAGTTCAATTTATATAAATTATGATCCAAAGAATTTTTTTTTTACTTAATTAAATTTGATGTAGAGTGGAGGGCCTTCATGGAAAGTTCTTCTTGGGAGAAGAGACGCGTTGATAGGAAACCAGGCACAAGCAAATATTTCACTGCCTTCTCCGTTTGAAGGATTGGATGCAATCATTGCCAAGTTTGATGCTGTTGGCCTCAACATCACCGATGTTGTCTCTTTATCAGGTATATATATGTTTTATTATAATTTATAATGATAAGTAATTTCTTATTTTATTTTTATAATGTAAATAAAATACACAATATGTTTTCCTTAAGAGAGATTCATATAATTATTTTTTTATTAATCTTAAGAAAAATGAATTTCAATAAAAAAATTAAAAATATTTTTCTAAAAAAAGTAATTAGAGACATTTAATTTGTTAGTGAATTGTAAATTTTAATTTGTTTCTTATATTTATGTTCTATTTTTTCAATTTTATTACTTATTTAGGTGCTTTTTTTATTTTGCTTGAATTGTTTGTCTCCTGTACTCCTATTTAAAACACAAAACTTGGTCTGGACTTTACTGTTTCAGTTTGAAAGATCAACTCGAATTTTGAAGGTGATAAGAATATTATTCTAGAATATATATATATACACTCATAACTAGACTGATAATGATAATATATAAGCCAATATATTATACTATACACTCATACTAGATGATAATGATAATTAAAATTTTTTTTTAAATTATATATATATATATATACATTATATATAGATATATATATATATATTATTTATCATTATCAGTCTAGTTATGAGTGTATTGGGTCGGGGAAACCTATTGGCCTGGTGTATGATTCCTGAAAATGTTAAACTTTCCTGGTATTTTTAATTTAATAATTTTTTTTTTTTTGTTGCTGATAAAAAAAAACCTTTTTCTAACTAGTCAACAAATCTTTTTTTTTTTAAAGGTGAGGAATTCTATTTTTTTATTTATTTAGATTTTACGTATGTAAATAGCATAGCAACCATATTTTTTAATCTAGCTGATGTTCTGAAATACAAATATATATCAATATTATATTAAAAAGCTGATAAATTTTATTTTGTAACTGTAGGTGGCCATACAATTGGTCAAGCAAAATGCGCAACCTTCAGCAATAGATTATACAACTTCTCTGGACCTGGAGTTCCTGATGCTACGTTGGACACATCTATGTTATCTGATCTGCAAAACCTATGTCCAGTAAATGGTGATGGAAACAAGACCACAGCTCTTGACCGGAACTCCACTGATCTTTTCGACAACCATTATTTCCAGAATTTGGTAAACAATAAGGGACTCCTCGGTTCAGACCAAATTCTATTTTCAAGCGCTGAGGCTGTTTCAACAACCCTAAATCTTGTTCAAAGTTACAGCAGTAACACCAAGCTTTTCTTTGATGATTTTGCTAATTCTATGATCAAAATGGGCAATATTAGTCCACTCACTGGGTCTAATGGAGAGATCAGAAAGAATTGCAGAGTGGTTAACTCATAGATTGTTTTTTATTTTACCAAAATAAAGGTGGGTTTGATAATTAAAGAATAGTTGAAAGTTGTATACTTGTGAATTCTGAGTCATCAGGCACTAGGTCTCTTGTTTTTATAATCCAATACTGTTAGTGTTTATGTATTTGTAATTTGTAATTTATATTAATTTATGAGCATTAGACTCCGGTAAAAATCAATTGAATTTATATATATAAAAAAATATGTTTATAACAGTCTTCCACTTATAATTTTTGTTCACCCTAAATTGGATGAAACTGAAAATTAAATATTCAGTAATTCTTACAATTAGCTTCTAAAACTTATAATTAAAGAGACAGGGTGAATATTTAGGCTTCAAGGAGCCTTCAGTCGAAATTTAGTATGTGCACTTTAGATTTTGTGATGGGTTTAAGGTAAAGAAAAGATGAGAAACAAATAAGGGAAGAAAAATAGTAAGGATTGGAGAGATAATAACAACAATAGCTCGTTAAAATTGAGTTTATATATAGAATAATGTATGCTTTACAATAAGAATTAGGCATCGCATTCTAAGATGCTAAAATCATAAAGTTAATATAATATAAACAATCTTATATATCAATTAATATAGAATCCTCAAAATGTGACTTAGAGAATTTTTTTCGAAAAATCTTATAGAAAACTGCAAGAGTTTTCCTATATTACAATATTTTCAATCTCAAAATTTATTAATAGACTTCTTATGTCACCATTCATCACTATCCAACTTCACAATCTCAGTACTCAAACATCATCAATATAGTCTCATCAAAGGATCACTAAAGCATAAATATTCATATTCATTTCTAATTTTTAAAGTATTCTTAATATTTATATATGCCATAACATTTCTATCATAAATATAAAAACTATGATCCTAATGCTCATAATCCAAAATCTCATCGTATATAAAAATTCGTTTAATTTCATTTAATTAATCAAATTACCTTTCTCTAATTAATTAATTTACATTTTACAATCCTAATAGAATGATGAAAATATTTATATATTTATTTCTCACGTTCGAATTGGGTTTTCCAAGTGTGTTTTTTTCTTTAAATTTATTTATCAGTCATGTAGTCGTTCTTGTTTTTCTCACTTATGCTGTACTATGAACATGAACGGGATTTTGTTCCTTGCTGACACGAGAAATAAATTGAGGTAGTTATTATCGGTATAGGATCTTATGGGGTTAAATTTGTATCAGCTATAGGGTAAGCTGGCTTGGATATTCGCTCTTATTGGGTCAATGGAATGAATCATGATCTCGAATCTCTATCTAGTTTTGTCTTTTTTTATTCTATCTTAGCACCTTAACACACTGTCCCTTAATTTTTTGCTAGTAGGTTTTGGATTTCAGTGTACTTTCCTTCTCTTTTTCTGCTCCTTCTCTCTGGCTTAATTCGGCAGGTTTTGCTTGTTTTTAGGTAGTGTTGCTAAGAAACAATCTGTAACATTTGGTGTTTCGAGGATTAGGTGTGCTTCCTGGCCACTTTCCAACTAGAAAAATTATAAATTTCAGAATTGAATTAGGCATAAAATGTTTGGAGGAGAAACTTTTATTTAGAATATTTCCACAGTCCCCTTCGAAACTACAGGAGATAGGGAGTCCACAACTTCTTCCTTCTAAGTTGATCTTTTTGAGTTTGGTTGATCAACTTGTCTTACAGTGAACAAGGGTGTTTCATATTTTATTGTGGGTGTCTCAGTTACTTCTTCCTAAGATGTAATGGAGAAATGTTAACTTCACAGTTTTATCAAGAAAAATATGACCACATTGGATGCAACAAGAGCAGAACTTGCTTTGTTAGTTTTGTATCTGAATAATCTCTTAAGTTGCATTACAGCTCTTGCTATTAGTCAACGAACATTGAATATTCTCCTCAATTACTTGTTAGCGGCCTTTGTTGAAAACAGATAAAAAATATATAAAAAATTGGTTGTGCTCAATCCCACATCGGGGAGATTGAGTTTTGAGGGTGTTTGAATTGGCTATAAAAAGAAGCCAATGTTTAGGTAAAAAGAAGCACATGTTTAGGTTTCTAAACACACCAAAAACATTTTGAATGTGTTTTATATTAGGGTTTAGAGCAAGTTCTTTGGAGTTCCCTTGGGAGTATAAAATATTTGGGTGTTTTGAGAACGGTGTCGCGGTTTAAAAATATTTTGTAATTATGGTTTGTAACAATTTTGCCGCATACGTGAATATTTTTTTTGGTTTATCGTTTGGCAACGGCAGTGGTGTTTTCTCCCACTGGGATTTTTTCCACAATTTAAGAACTATCGTTGTTCTCTTTAATTCTCAGTCATTATTTTATCTTCTCATTTGTTCTTGCTTGAAGCCGATCCGAAGGCGGGAAAATTAGCGATTTTTCCCAACAGTGTACAGAGGCCTAATTGTTAGGCGGGAGCTTTTTAGTGGTTAAAATATTTCTTGTAATTTAAATTATAAGTATGCTTGTGATTGCAGGCTTAGTCTGATCTTCCACATCAGGAAATACTATTTGTTAGGAAAATTATTTTATTTTAAAAGCAAGTGGGAGTTTTGGGAAGTTTGAAGCGGGTGGAGCTTTGCTTTGGTGTGCTTCAGTACCGGTTGGTGAAGGTTTCCTGGACGATAATTTTATTGAAAGTTTATTTCTTGGTACGAAGTTCTGATAATATTACCGTGCACGTTAACTTTTGTCTAGAAGGGTCAGATTTTTAAGTGGGACCACTTGTGACCCTCCGCCAACTGGGATTTTTACGTTCCTGGAAATGCGTAATATTGTCTATGAGAATAAATCAATTTTCAGGGCCATAGGTCTCTTGTCCTGGGTATTTGTCGAG